TGACTCACTCGAGAGTCACGTCCGAGGACTACAATCGTTGGGGAAGGATGAGCTTACCTATGGCGAACTTTTAGTTCCTATGATAAGAGAGAAACTACCTCCAAGCATACGCAAACAGATTGCCAGAGATCATGGTAGTTCAGCCTGGACCTTACCTGACCTACGCAAAGCAATTCTACGTGAAATAGACACACTACAAGCCGGTAAGCCAATAGACGGTTTATTCACCATGAATGATACATTGCAGCCGGAATTAACCGCTGCATTTCACACAACAGCACAGTCAACGAAAAAGAGACCGCAAACTTGTCCCTTTTGCAAGGGTACGCACTTCGCATCGAACTGTACGATAATTACCGATACACGTAAGAGACTGGACATTGTTAAGAAAGATCGACTTTGCTTCAATTGTTTCGGTAAGCACAGAGTTTCTGAGTGCAAATCGAAATACTCGTGTCGCGTCTGCAAGAAACGCCATCATACCGCTCTACACCACGACGCAATGATTATACCTGAAATATCTTCGGACTTGACTAATCACATTTCCCAGGAAATTCATAACATGAGCCATTTGAAGGGATTACATTTCGCTCATCCAGTTTCTGATGATGAGAAACTTCCTATTGATATATTAATAGGGGCTGATCAATATTGGAATTACGTTGGCTCTCGAGTAATTTCTGGTATGGTCGGTCCAACCGCCGTATCCTCCAAATTTGGATATTTGCTCTCCGGGCCCTCTGGAACTACTAATACAGTGGATCCTAATGTACGTATGCTTCACGTGATTTCTACTCCGGACAATTATGTTACCAAGAATACTATTGTAACGGAAAATGGCCGCGAAATTGTTGATAACGTGGATATTCAATATACTCGCCGAGGCGACGACGCAAAAGTCCAAAATGTGTGGGACTTGGAACTAATTGGAATTAAAGAAAGTCCAGAAACTGACAAACGTATGAGCTACGAATCGTATAAAGACACGCATCTGAGGGTCGACCAAGGAAATACGTCGCACGATTACCATGGAAAGAGGATCACCCACCACTGCCGACGAACTATAGTGTTACTGTGAACCGTACACGTAACATGATTCGCCGACTAACCCCCGATGTCATCAAAAAGTATGATGACATCATCGCCGAGCAACGACGTCGTGATTTCATCGAAGAAGTTAACGAAGACGATACAAGTATCGGACACTATTTACCGCATATAGCGGTAAAAAGGGACTCGGCAACTACACCCATTAGAATTGTGTATGACTGCAGTTGTAGTCAGGGTGCTAGCTTTCCGAGCTTGAATGACTGTCTACAAACCGGCCCATCGTTGATAAATGACCTACCATCCATTCTATTACAATTTCGCTCAAATAACATTGCATTAACGAGTGACATTGAAAAGGCCTTTCTGAATGTTAGATTGGAAGAAGACGAGAGGAAATTCACGAAATTTCTGTGGCTGTTAGACGCGTCTGACCCAGAAGGTAAATTCATAACATTACAATTTAAAACAGTATTGTTTGGCGCTGTTTGCTCGCCGTTTATCTTAAATGCGGTTATAAAAACGCATTTAGACGCCAACAACACACTTTCTACAGCCAAAATATTAAAGAACAATATTTATGTTGATAATGTGATCGATGGTGTTGATACTACGGAAAATGCCATAAAATACTATAAAGAAGCCAACAAGCTAATGACGACGAGCGGATTTAAACTCAGGGCGTGGTCTTCTAATTGTGAACAATTGAACGAACTTTCCAAACGCGACAACCTCAATGAGCCCGCCGAAACTGTGTCTGTTTTGGGAATGCGATGGTCGACAAAATCGGATAAGTTGACCTACCCCAAAGTTAATAATGTACCGCTATTAACTGATCTTATTACGAAACGCGACGTTGTCAGTTTCACTTCCGCGTTATACGACCCGATTGGTTACCTAACTCCAGTCCACGTTAAAGCCCGGTTATTCATACAGTTGTTATGGAAACTCGAACTAGGCTGGGACGAACCGCTTAACTCAGACCTATGTTCGATGTGGATGCATATTGCTGAGGATCTAAACGGTGCAAGAAGTCTTTTTGAGGTGAAAGTTTGGTGCGCTTATATACGTATTGTTTGATATCGCAAGCTTTTGTTCATGATTGACAGGATTATATGTAACTCAGTAGTTTCTATCGTTTTGCTTTTCCGTCTTTTTGCCAGAGGAGTAAAGAGACGCATCCCTGGTAATCACGTGATCATGCTGTCGACTGCAGCGATTGGCTGATCGCTTGGTTACACCGCCACGCCTTAGTTTTTTTGACCTTTTGATATAGAGTTCGTAACCTTAGTAACGGAGAAAGTGAAGCAACGGGTTATCTTAGCGAACCGTTTTGAGAAAAGTGAGTCGATTGGTAGCCTTTCCCTTGTTTTTGATTTATAACCATTTGAGACTTTATAACCATTGTATTTAGACTTTATAATCATTGTACTTAATTAGTGTGTTTTACTCTTTTTGATTTATACCTTTTTACCAAACGCTTCAGCGTGGTATTAAGAGTTTGTTTTCAGGGTGGGTGATACCAAGTGGGAAATGGATGCACATATGGGGTTAATTCCTTGAATTGCAATATAGAGGGTTCAGGCTGAA